GCTCTGCATTTAAAACTCACACCAACAGGCTGGCTCAGTCCCAGCCTGCTGGTCCAAGTTTTAAATGAACACACAGGGGAAGTGCATGCCACCACAGCAGTGTGGGACAGCAAGCGGGAGCTGGCCTATGTGAGAAGCCAGTTTAAAAACCAGCTCCTACCTGCTGCCCCACACAGGGCCAGATTATCCAGTAGGCACAATGCTTAGAGCCTATGAAAAATTCATAACTGACTACAAAGAAACAAAGAAAACAGCTAAATCACACTTGAACATTTGCACATGTATTCTAATAAAAATAGCAAATTAAGATCAAGCCAGCTCTCCATGCATATTGGCTCCTGCAGACCCACCTGCCCCCCCATTCACTGCCTCCTACAGCGGGGACAGGCAGGAGCTGGTGCTGGGGAGAGCTAGCTTAGAAACACCCTGTGAAGCAGCCTCTGCCTGCAGGGGAGTCCGAGCTCCCCATGGACAGAGACTGCTTCGCATCCCACAGAACAGCCTTTGTCCATGGGGAACTCGGACTGTACCGTGGCCAGGGGCTGCTGCCACCCCATGCTGCTGCCTCTGATAGAGGCAGCAGCACAGGATAGCAGGCAGGCAGCCAGTCCATGAAAGGAGCTAGTTTTTAAATCTAGCTCTCCTCCCGGACCAGCTCCACCTGCCACCCCACACCACTGCCTCTGATAGAGGCAGCAGCACAGGGTAGCAGGGGGCTCCCTGGGAGTGGGTCTGGAGCCCACTGGCTACCAGCCGTGCCCCTGGGAACTATCATATAGAATCACAGAAAAGTAGAACTGGTAGGGACCTCGAGAGATCATCAAGTCTAGTTCCCTGCCCTCACGGCAAGACCAAACACCATCTAGATCATCCCTGATAGATGTCTATCCAAACAGCTCTTAAATATGTCCAGTGATGGAAATTCCACAACCTCCCTAGGCAATTTATTCCAGTGTTTAACCACCCTGACGGTTAGAAAGTTTTTCCTAATGTCCAACCTAAACCTCCCTTGCTGCAGTTTAAGCCCATTGCTTCTTGTCCTATCATCAGAGGACAAGGAGAATTTTTCCTCTCTCCTCCTTGTAACACCCTTTTAGATACTTGAAAACTGCTATCATGTCTCCCTCTCAGCCTTCTCTTTTCTAAACTAAACAAGCTCAATTCTTTCAGTCTTCCCTCATAGGTCACGTTTTCTAGACCTTTAATCGTTTTTGTTCTCTGGACCTTCTCTATTTTTCCTCATCTTTCTTGAAATGTGGTGCCTAGAACTGGACATTGAGGCCTAATCAGCACAGAGTCGAATAATGACTTCTCTTGTCTTGCTCACAACACTCCTATTAATGCATCCCAGAATCATCTTTGCTTTTTTTGCAAGCATCACACTGTTGACTCATATTTAGCATGTGGCCCACTATGACCCATAGATTGCTTTCTGCAGTACTCATTCCTAGACAACCACTTCTCATTCTGTAGATGTGAAACTGATTGTTCCTTCCTAAATGGAGTACTTTGCATTTGTCCTTAATAAACTTCATCTTATTTGCCTCAGGCTATTTCTCTAGTTTGTCCAGATCATTTTAAATTATGGCCCTAACCTCCAAACACTTTCAACCCCTCTATTAAGTTTGGTATCATCTGCAAACTTAATAAGCTTACTCTCTATGCCATCATCTAAATCATTAATAAAGATAATGACAGAACCAGTCCCAAAACAAACCCTTAAAAACCCCACTTGCTATGCCTTTTCAGCATGACTGTGAACCAGTAATAACTACTCTCTGAAAATGGTTATCCAGCCAGTTATGCATCCACTTTATAGGAGCCCCATCTAGGTTGATTTCCCTAGTGTATTGATAAGATGGTCAAGCAAGAGTGTATCAAATGCTTTACTAAAGTCTAGGTATACCACATCCACTAGGGATACAAGAGTATAGTCAATTAACCAATAAGCAAAAGTTTATAGATTAATGCTACAGATTACATGCATTTCCCCACCCCACCAGTAAGTTTTTTAGCACGCTAGCCAGCAGCCAAGCTCAGTCTTAGCTTGTGCCAGGTCCAGAACCTACTCCTGCTGCTGCTCTGCAATTAATGAGTATTAGGAGCCATGCAGCCCGGCTCAGTTCCGACTCTTGCTAGATCCAGGAGCTCAGACCGTCCCTACCGGACCGGGACTTCCATGACTTTTCAAAGGTGACTTGCAGACATCTGACTTTTCTAAGTGATTTTTAACTTAAAATTGCATGCTGTTACACAACTATTCAATTACACGATATCTAACATCCCTAACTTTCACACTGAAACATCATCATAGCTGGAATCCACTTCCATTAAGCTGAGTTTTGGTGCAGTCTTCACAGTGGGAGGTTGGCAGGGGAAATGATCCTGTCAACTTCCCTTATTGTTTGTGGAGAGGAAGACTACTGGCACCCATGGGGGTGCCCTCAGCATTCGATTTAGTGGGTCTTTACTAGAGCCACTAATCAACCGTCAGAAGATCGACAGCTGCAGCATCCATCTTTCCTCAAGTTCAGATGTGGCCCAAGACTGTATATGTGTAATTGTGAAGTACCAAATGTCCTGTAGTTCTCATCTTGGTTTGAGCTTTTAGGTACTACCGTAACACAAAGTTGCACAGATCAGGAAGGATTTTTGGAGCAGATTTTAAAAAGTCCTCAAGTCTTACTCAGGACCAGACAACTGTGTGTTGGACATGCTAGTATATTACCAGAAGTTACAGCAGCATCAGAAGCCAAGGCCCATTCTGCTAAGCACGGTACAGACACATACAAAGAGATTCCTGCCTCAAACATCTGGTCTACATTACAGCAATTTCCACTAGTATTCTTTCAATCCTAGCACAATTACTGCTTTCAATATTTCTTAACTTTCCTGGTAGATTAGATTTCTTTTGAATCTATTTTCCCCTCCACAGAGGAAGCTTCTTTAAAAGAAAAAAAAATTGATAAAGAATGTACAAACAGAAATAACTACTATGATCACCTTTAAACCATGCTACTTAACCTCATGAGGGCAAGGACTCTTTACCCTGAAAAATTTAGATTTACAGAGGGTAACAGAAATGCACTTTAAACGTCTGTTGAAAGATCCAATTACCTGAAATGTAGCGCCAGTAAGGGGAGGGATGTGAACGACTAGTCAGAGACAGCCGGAGGGAAGGGGGGGGGGGGGGGGGGAGGTAAGAAGGAAGGTAAGTGTCTGTGAGTTCATACTGACCCCAGGCTCCATGCAGTGCTACCACTTTGAAGTGCACCTCAGGAGAAAAAGAAACCAAGCACTGTCCACCTTATCTGTTGGATCCTGGCCAAAGGGTCTGGTCAGTCATGCTAAACAAAGAACAATTGTTGAGAAAGCTACCTTGAGCTAAGGCTATATCTTCGTAAATTAGGTATTGGGCATAAGCATACAAACAAAAGTAACCCATTCTATCTTCAGCCTGCTCTGCCTGATACCAAGTAGCCCTTGTTTTATCTTTACTATAACACAACTCAGTGTTATAGTAAAGATAAATTATTGTTAACTGAAATGATTGTTAACTCCAGTTTAAGGAAACAAAAGCACGCCTTATTGCTTTAAGGAGACATGGACCTTAACTCCCTGAGAATTCCAAGAGAGGAATGACTCAGCACCCAATTAAGACATGCTGAGGCCCTAAGCTATTTCAAGTTTAAGATGTCCCATCACATTACCAAAAAAATTAATTTAGTCATTTTTTTAAGAGGTCTAATAATCTGGGGCACTAAACTGCAGTTTACATTAGGGATGTCAGCACATAGTTGAGTAAACAATTAAGTCTGGGCTTAACTAAATGCACCCCCTCTTGCTGCCTCTGTACCAATCCTATGGAGCCACCTACTCTCCCTCCCGCCCACTTCCGCGCTGCTGCCTCCAATAGGGGATGCCAGAGCAGCCCCTGTCTGCAGAGAGCTGGGTTCCCCCATGGACAGGGACTGCTGTCACAGAGCAGCCTCTGTCCTCAGCAGGACTAGGCTGGCTACAGACAGAGGCTGCTCTGTGGAATGCCAGCGCAGCCCCTGTCTGCGTGGAGTTCGCCTCCGCCCCCCATGAAAAGAGGCAGCACAGGCTTGCAGACTTCCTGCAAGCGGGGCTGGGAGCGCACTGCCTGCCAGCCCCACCCCCGGGGATTATCAAATAATCATATAACCACTAAAATGTTGTGCTGTTACACGATTATTGAATTAATTGATATTAACCATAAGCTCGTCTGTAGGCATCTGGGCTCTGAGACATAAGTAGCAGCATATTTAAGACACGCAGGATTGGAGGACAGTCAGTGACAACCTCCCCTAAAGGACGGAACCCCAACCATTTAACAGTGAAGCAGATTTAGTGCAGTTAACATATAAGATATATTGCAGAAGGATACCTATGTTTAAAGCAACCTGCAGATAAAAGCAAGCACGTGTTCAGAATCAAGACGCTATGTCCAGTCCACATAAAACTCCACAAATCCTGGGCCTACGTTTTGATAAAGGCTCATCACATGGGTTTTAAATTTCACGCATTCCAAGGTAGTGCAGCCCTCCTTCAGCCAGGAATACACACGCACAACAGCTTGGCAGCTGAAACCAGAGTATCAGGGTCTGACTGACCCTAACCAAGAGCAGCCAGCCAGTGAGCTGCAACATTCCCCGGCAGGCAGACAGTTTAGGGCACCTACTGCCCATCCCCCACACGGAGCTAATTGCTGTTGTTCTCTCCGGCTGGTCCCACTAGGCCTCAGAGCATCTCTCAGGAGAGGCGGGCGGTGCTGCCCGAGAGCTCTCTGCCCCGCCGTGGGGGGGCGGGAGTTTGAACGAAGTCGGAGACCGGGCGGGGGCACAAGGCTGAGCGCGCGGAACCCCGCCAGGCACGTGTCCAACAGGGGACGCGCCGAGCCCATTGCTGGGGTTCGAACCCTCATGCCACGGACATTCTAACGGCAAAATAACGGCCGCGCCCGCGTGCCGAAGGCTCACCGCCGGGGTGGGGAAAGGGTCGGCAGGAAAGCGGCCTGCACCCCCGACTTCCTCCGCGCCGCCGAGCTCCTAGGCGCCTGCGGCTCACTGGCCTCCAATTAACGGGCGAGCGAAGGAGCAACTGGCCCGCAAGGCGCGAAGCGAAAGCCCCGAGCAGAGCTCCAGAGATGCTCACAGCCGCGAGCCACCACACAGGCAGCAGGAGCGGAGGCAGCCCGTCCCCGCGTGACTCAGAGACGTTTAGCCGCGGGAGGACAATTACCGGCAAAACAGAAGGTCCGGTCCGCGTCTGTCCGGTAAAGCCAGACAGCGTCCCTTCGCGCATCACCCAGGTCCAACTACGCATGCGCCACTGCGCTTCAAGCGATGCCGGCGCCGAAGAGCAGGTGTTGCCGCGCAACCGAGCCAATCCGCTCACGCTGCGAACAGACCAAGCGAATCACAACTCCAGACCCTCCCGTAGCCAATCACTGCTCAGTCCGCGGCGGTCAGGGCCCAGCACGTGCTGGCTTAGCCAATCACCATCAGCGTTTACAGAAGGGCTCGCGGCTCTGCTCCCGCAGCTTTGGACGTTCCGCTGCAGTGCGCGCACGCGCGGCGTCAGTCACTGTTCAGTCCTTTTGATCTGAGGAAGTGGGTCTGGCCCACGAAAGCTCATCATCTAATAAACCATCTTGTTAGTCTTTAAAGTGCTACATTGTCCTGCATTTAGTGGTCAGTGTCCGCGCGGGAGCTGGGAAACAGGTGCCCGTTTGGTGCCGCCCCGCTTCCTAGCCAGGGTCAGGCAGGGCATGCGGCTTGCGCAGCACAAAGCCTCAGCAGCGAGGCACCTGCTCGGCCCGCAGTTACTGCTGCGCGATCCCATAAACATACCCGCCCTTGCTCCACCCCCTGCACCTCGTCCCTCCATGGTGCTTTGCTTCCCCCGGGCTGCTGGCTGTGGTGGGGGCCAAGGGATTTGATGCGTGAGAGGGGCTCGGGGCTGAGCATGGAGAGGAGGGTTAGGATGCAGGCTCGGGCTGGGAGTTTAGATGCAGAGGGATGCTCAGGGTTGAGGCAGAGGATTGGGCTGCAGGGGACTCTTGTACATTTCAAAGTAGAAGTGCCCTCAGGGAGCCTGGGCTCAGAGTCACCTGCTGACCCCGAACTCCATGCTGCACTGCCACTTCAAAATGCCACATGAGGCCAGGGGTCAGATGGGGACTCCCCTGCTGACCCTGGGCTCCTCAAGGCATTTCCCCAGATCCTGGGGTCAGCTGGAGACTCCCCAGCTGACCCCAGGTTCTGCATGTTTTCAAAAGCTGTGGAGGAGCCTGGGCTCAGCTAGGGAGTTTCCAGCTGACCCTGGGCTCCTCAACATTTTCCCAGAACCTGGGATCAGCTGGGGACTCCCCAGTTGACTCTGGGTTCCACGGAAATGACACAGGGAGCCCAGGGTCAGCTTGGGTGTCCCTAGCTGACTTTGGGCTCCATGCAGTGCTACCACTTTGAAACACCTTAGCAATGTTTCAAAGGGGCAATGCCACACAGAGCCCGGGATCAGCTGTGCAATGCTTCCGCTTTAAAGTACCCCACCTTCCCCCACCCCTTTGCTGTCTCTATCTAATAGAGGCAGCAAGGCTGGGGAAATCACCTAGTGGACTGGACTATCCGATAAGCATTTGCTTATCCGATAGTCGACTAGTCCTTATCTTTAGGCTGATGGCAGCCAGGGAAGACTGGACTATCCGATAAGCATCAGATGGTCAACTATTCCTTAACATCCTTAATAAGGACAAATGAAACAGATTAAACCTTCCAAATCCGGGAGTCTCTAGTCCGGCAACATCTGTGGTCTGGCAGAGCCACGGATGTTGCTGGACCTGTCATAACCATGAGGGTTAGCTAGCAGCCTGGAGTCTAAGGGGTTATCTATGTTCCTATATCTAGCCAGGTAGCATTCAGCCAATAGAAATGCAGGTAGGGACTTCAAACTTAGACAAAGGAATTTTGAGGTTTTCCCTCCTTTGTCTCTGAGTCAGTTTGCTCTCTAGATACTGAGGGAGACAGAAGACATGTCTCTCTCCAAGAAAAAGACTCTTCAAAATGTGTAAGTAGGGTAAAGTTTAGATAAATCTGTTAGGTTTTATTGTTTCTGTTCTGGGACTTTGGATCTGATGTGTGTGCTGTTAGAAATGGGTTTTCCTCCCTAACGCTACGTCTAGACTGCAAGTCTCTTTCGAAAGAGGCTTTTTCGAAAGAATCTTTCGAAAGAGAGCGTCTAGACTGCAACCTCTTCTTTCGAAAAAGTAAGCCGCTTTTTTGAAAGAGAGCACCGAGGCAGTCTGGATGCTCTGTTTCAAAAAAGCCCTGTTTGCATTCAAGAACGCCTTTTTTCAAAAGAACACTTTAGAAAAAAGGCATTATTCCTCGTGAAATGAGGATTACCGCCATCGAAAGAAAAGCCGCGTTCTTTCAATTTAATTTCGAAAGAATGCGGCTGTAGTCTAGACGCAGGTGAAGTTTTTTCGAAAAAATCCTGCAGTCTAGACACAGCCTAAGTCCTGAGCCCATGGAAGTCCCCATGAGTATATTAATTGGTGACTTTTTCCATCTAGTCATTATGCTTTCAACAAGAGTATTGTTTTGATGATAAAAGTTCTTTCTTTTGTTAACCTGGTATTGGTTCAGTTCTGTGTCCTGGAAAATCTGTCTGTGGATATCTGCATGCCTCTCACTAGAGGGCAGCTACCACAGATTGCAATTGGTATTTTATCTTTTATTTTTCAAGCTCTTTGGAGAAAAGAGCTTGGGGTACTCTGGATCTGGTTTCAAGTGTCCACCCGTTTGTGGGTTCAAAAGCACTTGATGGTGGCAGCAGATTTTTATCCCCAAAATCTAGGTTTTTAGGATTTTGGGGGAGTTTTATACCAAAGCCTGCAAAGATAAGGTTTTGAGGTTGCTTTTGCAGGCCCCCACTTCTGCGTTCATTGTGCCAGAGTGGGAATCAGCCTTTACAAAGCATTTGCTTACCGGATAGTTGCTAGTCCTTAACATCCTTAATAAGGACAAATGCAAAGTACAGGTTGAACCTCCCAAATCCGGGAGTCTCTAGTCCAGCAACATCTGTGATTTGGCAGAGCCAGGGATGTTGCTGGACCAAAGAGCCCTGGAGCAATGCAGGGGCTGGGAAGCCCCAGCTGGGCCAGACAGCATCTGGGGAGCCCCCACCCTGGCCCAGAACCCCAGAATTAATGGAACCAGGCAATGGCTGGGGAGCCCCACTGCTGGCCAGAGAACCCCCACCGTTAGCGGGGCAGTGGCTGAAGAGTCCCCGCCCCAGCCGAGAATCCCTGGCTGCAGCTGGGCTGCCTGCGGTCGTGCAGCCCTGGCCAGTAACCCTGGGAAACCCCCCATGGCAGCGGGTCTGGCAGAGGCAGATGACCTAATCTCCAGCAGCATCAGGGTGGT